GATCATCAGCAGACTTTTGAGTCAACTCAAAAGTCTGCCTGGGTGGCTATTCCGATCATCAGCAGACTTTTGAGTCAACTCAAAAGTCTGCCTGGGTGGCTATTCCGATCATCAGCAGACTTTTGAGTCAACTCAAAAGTCTGCCTGGGTGGCTATTCCGATCATCAGCAGACTTTTGAGTCAACTCAAAAGTCTGCCTGGGTGGCTATTCCGATCATCAGCAGACTTTTGAGTCAACTCAAAAGTCTGCCTGGGTGGCTATTCCGATCATCAGCAGACTTTTGAGTCAACTCAAAAGTCTGCCTGGGTGGCTATTCCGATCATCAGCAGACTTTTGAGTCAACTCAAAAGTCTGCCTGGGTGGCTATTCCGATCATCAGCAGACTTTTGAGTCAACTCAAAAGTCTGCCTGGGTGGCTATTCCGATCATCAGCAGACTTTTGAGTCAACTCAAAAGTCTGCCTGGGTGGCTATTCCGATCATCAGCAGACTTTTGAGTCAACTCAAAAGTCTGCCTGGGTGGCTATTCCGATCATCAGCAGACTTTTGAGTCAACTCAAAAGTCTGCCTGGGTGGCTATTCCGATCATCAGCAGACTTTTGAGTCAACTCAAAAGTCTGCCTGGGTGGCTATTCCGATCATCAGCAGACTTTTGAGTCAACTCAAAAGTCTGCCTGGGTGGCTATTCCGATCATCAGCAGACTTTTGAGTCAACTCAAAAGTCTGCCTGGGTGGCTATTCCGATCATCAGCAGACTTTTGAGTCAACTCAAAAGTCTGCCTGGGTGGCTATTCCGATCATCAGCAGACTTTTGAGTCAACTCAAAAGTCTGCCTGGGTGGCTATTCCGATCATCAGCAGACTTTTGAGTCAACTCAAAAGTCTGCCTGGGTGGCTATTCCGATCATCAGCAGACTTTTGAGTCAACTCAAAAGTCTGCCTGGGTGGCTATTCCGATCATCAGCAGACTCTTGAGTCAACTCAAAAGTCTGCCTGGGTGGCTATTCCGATCATCAGCAGACTCTTGAGTCAACTCAAAAGTCTGCCTGGGTGGCTATTCCGATCATCAGCAGACTCTTGAGTCAACTCAAAAGTCTGCCTGGGTGGCTATTCCGATCATCAGCAGACTCTTGAGTCAACTCAAAAGTCTGCCTGGGTGGCTATTCCGATCATCAGCAGACTTTTGAGTCAACTCAAAAGTCTGCCTGGGTGGCTATTCCGATCATCAGCAGACTTTTGAGTCAACTCAAAAGTCTGCCTGGGTGGCTATTCCGATCATCAGCAGACTTTTGAGTCAACTCAAAAGTCTGCCTGGGTGGCTATTCCGATCATCAGCAGACTTTTGAGTCAACTCAAAAGTCTGCCTGGGTGGCTATTCCGATCATCAGCAGACTTTTGAGTCAACTCAAAAGTCTGCCTGGGTGGCTATTCCGATCATCAGCAGACTTTTGAGTCAACTCAAAAGTCTGCCTGGGTGGCTATTCCGATCATCAGCAGACTTTTGAGTCAACTCAAAAGTCTGCCTGGGTGGCTATTCCGATCATCAGCAGACTTTTGAGTCAACTCAAAAGTCTGCCTGGGTGGCTATTCCGATCATCAGCAGACTTTTGAGTCAACTCAAAAGTCTGCCTGGGTGGCTATTCCGATCATCAGCAGACTTTTGAGTCAACTCAAAAGTCTGCCTGGGTGGCTATTCCGATCATCAGCAGACTTTTGAGTCAACTCAAAAGTCTGCCTGGGTGGCTATTCCGATCATCAGCAGACTTTTGAGTCAACTCAAAAGTCTGCCTGGGTGGCTATTCCGATCATCAGCAGACTTTTGAGTCAACTCAAAAGTCTGCCTGGGTGGCTATTCCGATCATCAGCAGACTTTTGAGTCAACTCAAAAGTCTGCCTGGGTGGCTATTCCGATCATCAGCAGACTTTTGAGTCAACTCAAAAGTCTGCCTGGGTGGCTATTCCGATCATCAGCAGACTTTTGAGTCAACTCAAAAGTCTGCCTGGGTGGCTATTCCGATCATCAGCAGACTTTTGAGTCAACTCAAAAGTCTGCCTGGGTGGCTATTCCGATCATCAGCAGACTCTTGAGTCAACTCAAAAGTCTGCCTGGGTGGCTATTCCGATCATCAGCAGACTCTTGAGTCAACTCAAAAGTCTGCCTGGGTGGCTATTCCGATCATCAGCAGACTCTTGAGTCAACTCAAAAGTCTGCCTGGGTGGCTATTCCGATCATCAGCAGACTCTTGAGTCAACTCAAAAGTCTGCCTGGGTGGCTATTCCGATCATCAGCAGACTTTTGAGTCAACTCAAAAGTCTGCCTGGGTGGCTATTCCGATCATCAGCAGACTTTTGAGTCAACTCAAAAGTCTGCCTGGGTGGCTATTCCGATCATCAGCAGACTTTTGAGTCAACTCAAAAGTCTGCCTGGGTGGCTATTCCGATCATCAGCAGACTTTTGAGTCAACTCAAAAGTCTGCCTGGGTGGCTATTCCGATCATCAGCAGACTTTTGAGTCAACTCAAAAGTCTGCCTGGGTGGCTATTCCGATCATCAGCAGACTTTTGAGTCAACTCAAAAGTCTGCCTGGGTGGCTATTCCGATCATCAGCAGACTTTTGAGTCAACTCAAAAGTCTGCCTGGGTGGCTATTCCGATCATCAGCAGACTCTTGAGTCAACTCAAAAGTCTGCCTGGGTGGCTATTCCGATCATCAGCAGACTTTTGAGTCAACTCAAAAGTCTGCCTGGGTGGCTATTCCGATCATCAGCAGACTCTTGAGTCAACTCAAAAGTCTGCCTGGGTGGCTATTCCGATCATCAGCAGACTCTTGAGTCAACTCAAAAGTCTGCCTGGGTGGCTATTCCGATCATCAGCAGACTTTTGAGTCAACTCAAAAGTCTGCCTGGGTGGCTATTCCGATCATCAGCAGACTCTTGAGTCAACTCAAAAGTCTGCCTGGGTGGCTATTCCGATCATCAGCAGACTCTTGAGTCAACTCAAAAGTCTGCCTGGGTGGCTATTCCGATCATCAGCAGACTTTTGAGTCAACTCAAAAGTCTGCCTGGGTGGCTATTCCGATCATCAGCAGACTCTTGAGTCAACTCAAAAGTCTGCCTGGGTGGCTATTCCGATCATCAGCAGACTTTTGAGTCAACTCAAAAGTCTGCCTGGGTGGCTATTCCGATCATCAGCAGACTTTTGAGTCAACTCAAAAGTCTGCCTGGGTGGCTATTCCGATCATCAGCAGACTCTTGAGTCAACTCAAAAGTCTGCCTGGGTGGCTATTCCGATCATCAGCAGACTCTTGAGTCAACTCAAAAGTCTGCCTGGGTGGCTATTCCGATCATCAGCAGACTTTTGAGTCAACTCAAAAGTCTGCCTGGGTGGCTATTCCGATCATCAGCAGACTTTTGAGTCAACTCAAAAGTCTGCCTGGGTGGCTATTCCGATCATCAGCAGACTTTTGAGTCAACTCAAAAGTCTGCCTGGGTGGCTATTCCGATCATCAGCAGACTTTTGAGTCAACTCAAAAGTCTGCCTGGGTGGCTATTCCGATCATCAGCAGACTTTTGAGTCAACTCAAAAGTCTGCCTGGGTGGCTATTCCGATCATCAGCAGACTCTTGAGTCAACTCAAAAGTCTGCCTGGGTGGCTATTCCGATCGTCAGCAGACTCTTGAGTCAACTCAAAAGTCTGCCTGGGTGGCTATTCCGATCATCAGCAGACTTTTGAGTCAACTCAAAAGTCTGCCTGGGTGGCTATTCCGATCGTCAGCAGACTCTTGAGTCAACTCAAAAGTCTGCCTGGGTGGCTATTCCGATCGTCAGCAGACTCTTGAGTCAACTCAAAAGTCTGCCTGGGTGGCTATTCCGATCGTCAGCAGACTCTTGAGTCAACTCAAAAGTCTGCCTGGGTGGCTATTCCGATCGTCAGCAGACTCTTGAGTCAACTCAAAAGTCTGCCTGGGTGGCTATTCCGATCGTCAGCAGACTCTTGAGTCAACTCAAAAGTCTGCCTGGGTGGCTATTCCGATCATCAGCAGACTCTTGAGTCAACTCAAAAGTCTGCCTGGGTGGCTATTCCGATCATCAGCAGACTTTTGAGTCAACTCAAAAGTCTGCCTGGGTGGCTATTCCGATCATCAGCAGACTTTTGAGTCAACTCAAAAGTCTGCCTGGGTGGCTATTCCGATCATCAGCAGACTTTTGAGTCAACTCAAAAGTCTGCCTGGGTGGCTATTCCGATCATCAGCAGACTTTTGAGTCAACTCAAAAGTCTGCCTGGGTGGCTATTCCGATCATCAGCAGACTTTTGAGTCAACTCAAAAGTCTGCCTGGGTGGCTATTCCGATCATCAGCAGACTTTTGAGTCAACTCAAAAGTCTGCCTGGGTGGCTATTCCGATCATCAGCAGACTTTTGAGTCAACTCAAAAGTCTGCCTGGGTGGCTATTCCGATCATCAGCAGACTTTTGAGTCAACTCAAAAGTCTGCCTGGGTGGCTATTCCGATCATCAGCAGACTTTTGAGTCAACTCAAAAGTCTGCCTGGGTGGCTATTCCGATCATCAGCAGACTTTTGAGTCAACTCAAAAGTCTGCCTGGGTGGCTATTCCGATCATCAGCAGACTTTTGAGTCAACTCAGAAGTCTGCCTGGGTGGCTATTCCGATCATCAGCAGACTTTTGAGTCAACTCAAAAGTCTGCCTGGGTGGCTATTCCGATCATCAGCAGACTTTTGAGTCAACTCAAAAGTCTGCCTGGGTGGCTATTCCGATCATCAGCAGACTTTTGAGTCAACTCAAAAGTCTGCCTGGGTGGCTATTTCTACCATCAGCATGGCATGGCAGGGCACCCTCCCAAGGAGCACCCCATGTCCTGTGCCCAGTTCACAACACTGGGCACGGGACATAGCAGGGAGCAGAGATCAAAGAGCAGAGAGCACAGGGCAAGCAGCATACAGCACACAGCACACGTGTCAACCATACGGTCCAGCCATCGCCCTATGCCCACCCATGCGTCCGTTACCATCCGTCCCTCCACCACCCCGCACCCCATCTCACCATCACTGCGCAGGTTCCTGGAGTATCTATCGCCCCCAGTAGGGCTCCCCATGACCATAGCGGTGCACGACAAGCACCAGTGCTGGGACCCCAGCCCCACCGCACGCCTGCTCTGCCCCCGCCCCACCGGCTACCCCAACCTCAAACTCCTGTCAGTGCTGCCTGCTATGCCGTCACTTGCTACCGCCGCTGCTGCTGTGCTGGCTTCATGCGTTGTTCTCGAATCTCACCCTCACCCCAGTGTCCAGGTTCATTTCATTTTGAGACTAGCAGCGCATTCACTTGGAAGAGAACACGCAGAAAGCATCCTGTGGACTCGCTACTCATCTCTCGGCCCTCTCCCCCCCACTCCCTCTCACTCCTCCCCAACCCTCCCCCCACCCCCCACCTTCCCTCGGTGCTATCAGGTATCCTCTGTTCCCGGACGCGTGTCGGTTTGGGCGGGAGAAGAAGGCAGCGGGCATAGGGTGCCACCATCCGAAGCTCTTTCTGCTCTTCCGCGCGCACTCGCTGCGAGTGGTCGTCAGCTCCGCCAACCTTAACGAACGCCAGGTGAGATGGGGCGACAGGGGTCGTGTGCGCGTGTGCTTGTGCGTGTCCGTGTGTCTGCATGCCCACGCGTGTGCACACACCCATGCACCTGGCACTCACCTTTTCTGTAAGCAGTCGCTGCGAGTGGTTGTGAGCTCCGCCAACCTCAATGAACGCCAGGTGCGGCGGCGAAAGGGGAGGGGGGCAGGGGTGTGAGTGCGTGTGGGTGTGCTTGCGTGCATGTGTGTGTGTGTGTGTGTGTGTGTGTGTGTGTGTGTGTGTGCGTGTGTGTGTGTGTGTGTGTGCGTGCGTGTGTGTTTGTGTGTGCACACGCGCGTGTGTGTGTTTGTGTGTGTGTGCATGTGTGTGCGTGCGTGTGTTTGGGGGTGTGTGTGTGTGTGGGTGTGTGTGTATGCGCATGCGTGTGTGTGTGTGTGAGAGAGAGAGAGAGAGAGAGAGAGGGAGGACTTAGCCTCTGTCCCTTGCCTCTGTCCCTTGCCTCTAGGCTGTATAAGGGTCCCGTAGGGGCCTCTTCCCCTCATTAGTTCATTCAGTTTCCAGATTTTCGTAGGCGGAGAGAGAGCGAGAGAGAGTGAGGACTTAGCCTCTGTCCCTTGCCTCTGTCCCTTGCCTCTAGGCTATATAAGGGTCCCGTAGGGGCCTCTTCCCCTCATTAGTTCATTCAGTTTCCAGATTTTCGTAGGCGGAGAGAGAGCGAGAGAGAGTGAGGACTTAGCCTCTGTCCCTTGCCTCTGTCCCTTGCCTCTAGGCTATATAAGGGTCCCGTAGGGGCCTCTTCCCCTCATTAGTTCATTCAGTTTCCAGATTTTCGTAGGCGCTCGCGCCGGCGGCCTGCGGCCGCCAGCGCTCGCGTTGCGCGGCCTTCGGCCGCGTGCTTCGGGGTGGCAAGGATTAGCAGCAAGGAAAACAATAATCACACTACACAAGACAGCGATGGGCCACGCGCCAAGCTACTAGATCACAAGATGCAAAGGGTCTACGCGCGGAGGGCGCCGGAAACTACATCAGATGGGCGTCCAGCGCCGCGAGGATACCGCGCATGGTCCTCCACAACTGCTGGACCACTCACGCGGTCGCGCCTACGGCTTCAATCCCGCCACCAGCCTGGAGGTGTGCGGTCAGACCCTGGACCGTCCCGTCCAGTTCTGAAACCGCAACGCCTCCCAACGCGGGCGCTCCCAGCACGGGTAGGAGGAGGAAGGCAAGTTGCGCAGCCGCCGCCAAGCAATCTCCTCGAGCCTCACGACCGAGAGTGCTCCCTGGACTCTGGAAAATGGCGAAGTGCGCATTCACCAGAATCAGTGTCAGGGCCTGCTGGCACTCCACCAAGCGCCACAGCTGCGCAAGGGTCGCCGTGGGAATTTGAGCCATTCCCGTCCTCAACGCGGCAGGCGGAACGGGAAGAGGGGGCGGAGGCTGCACGGACGGAGCTTCAGCGAAACGACGAGGAGGAACGAAGGCTCCCCTCGCCCCTCCGCCTCCCACTCCCACAAATCCCGTGTCCGGAAGAGGGGGAATCCAGGGCAGGGGCGGATACTGCGAGGCAGACACAGGACGAACGTAGGCAGGCGGAGCACGGTCACCGCCAGGAGGAGGAGCCCGCGGGTACGCAGATGCGTGCGGAGCAGGCGCAGCAAGGGGCGCGGCCGGAACCTCCGCATTCACAGGAGCGGGAGCGGGCGCAGGGGCGGCGGGAGCCGGGGAGCTACCAAGATTCGGTGCGCCATTCAGAGCGTTGCGCATCGCCGCTGCGAGCATCCCCGGGAAATCCTCGCGCAGCTGCTGCATCTCGCTCGGCCCACCGCGCCCGCGACCGTGACCTCCCCACCAGCCACCGCGACCTCCGCGATGCGCCGAACGATACGACGAGGAGGGGCGACGCCGAGGAGAACCTCGCCCCCGATGCGCTGCTGCATTGCCCCCCACGGCAGCGCGTATCTGAGACTCCGCGAGCCGCTGCGCGACGGGATTCACCGGCGCAGCCGAAGGGGCAACCAAGTGGGCAGAATCGGGGCCGGCGCCCACCGCTGTCCCCAGCGCAGGGCCCCCAGCGACAGCTTGGGCGGGCAGCTGCGCCACATGCGACGGCTGCGCAACGGGAACCGGCGCACCGGACACGGGAACAGCGTGCGGAAGGCCTGGCGGGGGCACCGGCGACAACGGGAGCGGAACCGCGGATGTCGCAACAACAGCAGGGGGAGCCGCGGGGAGTAGGGGAGCAGCAGCAACAGCAACAGCGGCAGCAGGGGCCTGAGGCGGAGCAATCGCACTCTCAGCGGTGTGACCTTGGTCCACCGCTGACTTCTCCGCTTCAGTCGCCATTACGGCGAACGCGTCGGCAGCAGGCGATCGAGGACGCAAGGTCGCGCCAGAGCGCGGGAGGAGCGAGTCGAGGGAATCCTCCGCCGGCGGCGGCAAATGCGCGGACGCGCGGGGGCCGTGCCGGAGGCCGAGGTCGTGGAAGGAGTATGCGCGAAGGCGGACCGGAGAACGCGTTCCAGACGGCGGCGCGTAGGGCTTTAACGGAGTTGGTAAGAGCTAATGAAGCAGATGCTTTGTCGGGGAGTATTTATGAGGCGGAGGAGGAAGCAGACTCAACCTCGAATGCCTCGGAGGAGGCCCAGTCACAGACTCCTGCACAGCAGAGAGGCAACCCAACCCACGCCCGAAGCGCGGCAACAATTTCCATTCACGCACCCACCCAGCCGCGACCACCCCCACAGATTCGAACCGCTCCCAACAACCCTGACACCACTGCCAACCAGCCCGCCCAACAAATCCCGCCACCAACACCTGGGATTGAACCACGAACTGCAGCGAGGGGTAACCAACAGCAGCCACAACCCCTCCCCCAAAAATCGCCCGAAGCCCTCGCCAAGGACGACACACTTTTCGCAAGTGTCAGTAACTGGAATCTGGACAATCTACGCGACAGTCGCAACGCACCTCTAGCACGTCGCCTTCCGGAAAAGCTGCGTCTGCTTTTCGCAATGGTCTTACTGACACCACTGCTGCGACTCGCCGACGACCCTGATAGCACCCAAGCCTGGACGGTTCTGCTGTTTGCCGCTCGCCTGACATTGCGTCAGCAGTCGCCGAAGCACCCCGATTGGAAGGCGACCAGAAGCAGATTGCGTAAATTCCTGCGAGGGGAGTGGGAATCACTTTACCAGGAAACGGTGGATTCGCTGGAGCAGCCCCCACCCCCCAGGAACCAACCGGATGACCTGGGGGTTATCTCCAGGGCAGAGGGTCTGGCGCGACGTGGCAGTCTGCGAAGGGCTGTCATGGCACTTGAAGCGACACCAGTCAGCAAGCCGACCCCAGAAGTTCTGGAATCTCTTCGCGCCAAACACCCACGTGCCCAGCACCCCGACACACCGTGGCCCCAGCCTGAGCCGGACACTTACCTGGCAGTGTCGCGAGAAGTTTTCATGAAGCTTCTCTCAAAGTGTGAAAACGGGGTTGGCGCTGGCCCCTCAGGGACGACGTTCGAACACCTGCGCGAAGCTGCACTGATGCACACGGCGGTCAGCTCACACTTACATGCGCTTGTCAACACGATCCTTCGCGGGAAGCTGCGCATGGAGGTTGGGGGGCTTCTTACCGCATCACGGTTGATAGCCCTCGATAAGCCAGACGGAGGGACAAGGCCAATAGCAATAGGCGAATGCCTCCTACGACTGGCAGCCAAAGCAGCGCTCACTCAGCTGGCAGAAGCGGCTAGGGAATTTTTCTTACCATTACAGTTTGGAGTTGCCGTGCCGGGGGGAGCAGAAGCAGTGATTCACATAGTTAGAACTTTCACCTCGGCCAATCCAGAGGCGCTAGTCCTGCAGGCGGATCTTGCTAACGCCTTCAACAGCGTCGATCGCCTCGCCATAGCGACAGCGCTGAAAGGCTCGCATCTGGAGCCGCTACTGCCTTTGGTGATCTTCTCTTACGGCCAGCCGTCTGCACTTCACCTGGACGCAGCTTTTGACCACGCGCCCTTGCTCAGCGAGACTGGAGTCCGCCAAGGGGACCCCCTCGGCCCCCTTCTTTTTGCCGCGGCCATGCATCCGGCTCTGAAGGCTGTTGCGGAGGCGCACCCAGATGTCATCTGCCTTGCTTACGCGGATGATGTTACCTTCTCAGGGGACCCGTCGTCATGTGCGGCCGCTTTTGATCATTTCACGAGCCTCCTGGCGGAAATCGGGCTCAAACACAACCCCGCCAAGTGCGGGGCCTGGTCCAATAGATCGCCGGCGGACTACACCCTGCCCGAGGGGGTTCCACTCAGCAGCGACGGGTTGAAAGTGCTGGGCAGTTACATCGGCACCCCAACAGCCACATCCGCCTTCATACGTTCCAGCCTGGAAGCGATGGGAGCGCCGCTGGGATTGATAGAACGAATGGAGCCTCAGCTGGCGGAACTGCTGCTGTCTCGGTGCGTCTCGCGCCGAGTGTCTTACTTGGCCCGCACGACTCCCCTTCCGTCCCTGCCCCAGGTGGAGTGGTCCGAATGGGGGAGGCGACTGCTGGATACCCTGCTCTCGGCATGCGGCATAAACCACCCGCGGGGGGAGGAGGAAATTTCACGCACTTGGGCGCAGGCCTCCCTCCCCGTCTCGCTTGGTGGGCTCGGACTGACAGACCCGTCCGTGGAGGGAAGCTACAGCTTCCTCGCCAGCTACACGCAGGCTCATCTCCTGCTGGACGAATGCACCGGCCCATTGGAAGTAACACGCGAGGTGATGCGCGGTCCCTACACTCAGGCCTCCCCCTTGACCGAATGGCTAGCGAAATGCGAGGAGGAGCTCCCACTGCCAGCTCAGGAAGCCCTGCAAGCAGAGAGAACAGCCCCAACCGCAGGGAAGCTGCAGCACGGGCTGGCCACGGCTATCCAGGGCCAGCGCTATGCTGTCCAAGTGGAGGAGGTGAGGGGGATGAGCCCGAACCCGAACAATGGTCACACGCAGCGGATGATGTCCCTGTCGGGGTATGGCGC